TAGAACATCAATGTTAATATTAATATATTTAATTATTTAATTGTTATTATATTTAAAGATTTTATTGTTATTATATTTAAAGATTTTATTTTTGATCATTGACATGTAAATTGTTAATTTATTTATTTTAGTGTTAATTATGTTTAACTGTTATATTTTAAAGAGTGTTTGGTACTCACTTGGTGCATTCTTGCTGTTAGGCCTACTCTAACAGGAAATTAACTGTATGTATTATTTTAAAAAAATCAACTTTGACGATGTCTATTGTAATACTTGTATTGCTTAATGACAAATAAAGATCTTGAATCTTGAATCATCTCACGAAACAGTGCATGTTCTGCGATTGCGTCATGGGCCAAGGAAAAGCATCGCAAACGCTGGGTTGATGTTCCCCTTCTTAGGGTCAGCAAGCTTACTCTGTTTAGGCCTTCTAAAAAGGTTGCCTCTGACCTCTTGAGACTAGACAGACGAAGAATTAAATTAATTGTTGAACTGATAACTGGTCATGGAAGATTCAGGAAACATTTACAACGGATGGGCTTATATGATGGTGAACCGATCTGTAGGTACTGTGATAGGTCAGAAAAGACAGCTGATCACTTACTCTTTGATTGTAACGAGCTCTCTGACGCTAGACTGATAACTCTTGGAAATATGGCTAGAGGTAGATACCTTCCTGAGGATGAACTAATTGGGAAGCTACAGGCATTCATTGGGCGCCTTAACTTGTAGGTCAACAAGAAAGCAATTGTCTGGGGTGCGCAATAATTCGATTTTGGATGAAGTGCTTTAAGGTCTCGACCTGCCTCTGTTAGATAAGATAAGAACTAGTGCTGCTACCTAGTAACACATTGAACAACCATCTGTAGCGCTATCTGTTCGCAATCGGTGGCGTCAGCTTAAATACCCGATTTTGACTCCTCAGTCTTCAAGCACAGATAGCCGAGAAGGCTAGGGCGTGTGTCACTTGGCCAGTGGCATTCGTCTGCTCGGGTTCGATTCCCGTCCTGTGTGGCAAATAATTGGTGACCTGTGTGTTTGTAGCGATATACTACAACCACTGGGGCAATAGAGAGGTTCATAATCCTTGGTTTAGACATACACCTCGAAATCATCGGATTGGGCGAATCTTTTAGCTAAGTGGTTGTTAGTGTATCCTATGAACATGCAAGTCACCAATGGCCGTTTTGCTACTTTTTGTTAAAATAACCTTCCTCTCTATATCCCTTAGAGATTTTTTAAAACAACGATATATCGTTTCATAGCACTGAAAGGGTTAAGAAACACAATTGACTTAAAAACTCGTTTGATGTTATTCTATGCATACTTCTATCCAATTCTTCAATATGGAATAGAATTCTGGGGCTTTGCATCAAACATTGATTTAATTTTTAAGATTCAGAAAAAATGTTTAAGAATAGTGACATTTGCACCATGGAGAACATCATGTAAGCCAAATTTTAAAGAATTATGATTAATGGTTGTTCAGAGTTTAACAATAATTTTTAAAACACTTTTGAAGGTAGAAGTAAATTTTGAAAAATTATTTAGGCTAGTGAAAACGTTGAGCATAAGTATGATACTAGGTTTAAAACTAACTTTCAATATCCGCGACATCGTCTTTCATTAGTAGAAAAAACCCCCGACATACATTCGCAAAAAACTATTTAATAAACTGTCTCAAGAATTAAAGAACAAAATACAGTCCAAGCATTTCAAAAGCAGCCTTGCCAATTTTCTTTTAAGAAAAGAAAACCCTATTACAGTATAGATGAGATCTTAACTGATCAGGTTGTATAAAAATAAATTAGTTTTCACTAAATTTTTAACTGATAGGTACATTTTGTTTTATACCACTTTTATTGTTAAAGTTTTATTTTATTTTAGTCCTTTATAGCTCCTTAGTCTTTTAAAGCTATTTGTATTTTGACAATAATGTCACCTGTTTTATAGCATTGCTATATTATGTAGCCCTATACACTAGTAGTACGCTTATTCTGCGCGTAACACGATGAGTGAACATGAGCGCAATAATGAAATAGTTTACCCACACCTAGCACACTTACCGGTGTCACTGGTGTACACAATAATGTTATTTGTATGGGCAAATCAACCCATGAGTCGGGGCAAATAATGGTGAGTCGGTGACTCAAGTCGGTAGCGTCATGGTAGCGTCACGCGAACTTCGGGCCCAAGGCAGCGATGTCGTGAGTTCGGATCCTGGTCACTGCCACTAAATTTTATCAGTACAGTTCACCTTTGTACTGTACCGGCTCACCAATTTCTTTGCTGTAAACGATCCACGCACGGGCGAGGTTAAAAGAGGCTGGACCAACCTCTTAAAAAAAAACCAAATCTCAGTCAACAACAATCCTAACTTCTCGTCCATTAATTAACCAAAGTCATTGGTAATATACGTAACGTATTTCCTGTTTCCCTCTCTTCTCATAGCATTTTATTATTGCAGATACGTTAATCTAACTGTCACAAAGAGTTCCCACACTCTGGACTGATCAGCTTGACTACTTCCTTTACCACTTCCTACGTCGTGGACCTGTTTCCCTCTCTTCTCATAGCATTTTATTATTGCAGATACATTAATCTAACTGTCACAAAGGGTTCCCACACTCCGGACTCCTCGCCTCGACTACTCCCTTCACCACTTCCTACGTCGTGGACCTGTTTCCCCCCCTTCCCATAGCATTTTTAGAATTGCAGATACTGTACATTATTCTAATTATCACAAAGGGTTTCTACACTCCGGAATGCTCGCCTCGACTATTTCCTTCACCACTTCCTACGTCGTAGACCTGTTTCCCTCCCTTCCTATAGCATTTTAGAATTTCAAATAGATTAATTTAACTTTCACAAAGGGTTCCCACACTCCGGACTGTTCACCTTGACTACATCCTTCACCACTTCCTACGTCGTGGACCTGTTTCCCTCCCTTCCTAGAGCATTTTAGAATTTCAAATAGATTAATTTAACTTTCACAACGGGTTCCCACACTCCGGACTGCTCACCTTGACTACATCCTTCACCGCTTCCTACGTCGTGGACCTGTTTCCCTCCTTTCCCATAGCATTTTAGAATTGCAGTTACATTAATCTAACTATCACAAAGGGTTTTTACACTCCAGAATGCTCGCATCGACTACTTCCATTACCACTTCCTACGTCGTGGACCTGTTTCCCTCCCTTCCTATAGCATTTCAGTATTGCAGGTATATTAATCTAACTGTCACAAAGGGTTTCTACACTCCGGACTGCTCGCCTCGACTACTTCGATTACCACTTCCTACGTCGTGGACCTGTTTTCCTCCCTTCCTATAGCATTTTAGAATTGCAGTTACATTAATCTAACTATCACAAAGGGTTTCTACACTCCGGACTGCTCGCCTTGACTACTTCCTTTACCGCTTCTTACGTCGTGGACCTGTTTCTCTCCCTTCCTATAGCATTTTATTATGGCAGATACATTAATCTAACTTCCACAAAGGGTTCCCACACTCCGGAATGCTCGCCTTGACTACTTCCTTCACCACTTCCTACATCGTGGACCTGTTTCTCTCCCTTCCCATAGCATTTTTAGAATTCAGATACATTATTCTAACTGTCATAAAGGCCCCCACACTCCGCAGTGCTCGCCTTGACTATTTCCTTCACTATTTCCTTCACTACTTCCTACATCGTAGACCTGTTTCCTATCTTTCCATAGCATTTAAGTATTACAGATACGTTAATTTAACTTCCGTACTCCTTTCTTTTCACTGCTCACCTTTCCGCTTTCTTTACTACTCTCTACGTCGGGGACCTGTTCCCTCCGTTATAAATTATAATGATATATATTCATAGACGCCAAAACTGTTTACTCCATGAATAAAAGAGCTTAGAGTAAAAGTCGTTCTCTCTGTCTTAAGTAGACAACAAAATTGTTGGTCGCAAAACGTAAACAAATAAAAAGAAGAAGAAGGTAGCTCCTAATGTTATTCTTATGGGACAAATTTAAAAATGTTTTTTAAGTATTTTATAATTACTACTGAGCGGAATCGTCTAGAATTTTAATGGTGTCTTTACACTGGTGTCATAACTATTTGTGCAAAATTTGAACGCTATAAGTGCAACGGTTCTTGAGTTTTAGGTGCGAACACACACACACACATACTCCAGCGGACAACTTTTCTCCGACTCCGCTATATACGATACATAGATTCGTTCACTTCGTTCACTCATCTATTATGTGATAATAAAGATTTATTTATTTAAGATTTATAATATTAGTAAGATTCCAAAAAAAACTATAACAAAATCCCCAGAATAAAAAAATTGTCATACTTTGCTTGTTTATGAACATATTTTAATCCAAATTTAGAACATTTATTTATTATATATGGTACTTAACTATAACCGTTTCACTAAGAAACTACCTCATTACCTTCCATGTGTCAGCAAACCTACGTAATTGTTAAACTAATGTTTTTTTAGATAGGGAATAAATCTGACATTTAAGTTATAGCTTTGACTATTAATACAACAATAATAATATCCAATAAGTCAATGGGTTATAGACTGATATTTTAGTAAAAATACAATGAGACATACATGGAAATTCACTTAGTGTTCAGGTTTTCTGTGGCGGTGGTACTTTTGTAGATAGCATTTTAAATTGATAGCCCAATCACAAGAGGCATCTGGGTCTAGTAACGATGAATTGTTTGGTGCAAGGTAGAGTAAAATGTGTGCTTGATGATTGTGCTAAAAGCGCTTCTGAAGTTTGATTTGTCCGAAAACTTTTACCAAGAAAAACATTCAAAATTAATGGTTTACCATCGTGGTCATGTCAAGATTTAACTGTAAAAAAAACACAAAAAAGTCTTTATTGTTAGTTTGTGTTCATCAATATTTTACTGTGTAGGTGTTTATTTATTATTTTAAGGGTCTCTTCCTCTATCAGTATGTTGGTCTACATATTTAATTAAGTTTTTAAGCTTTTAAACCTACCTGAAAAGCCATTTTCAAGCCATCCTGGACTTCATCTTGATTGCATCCATCAGGTATCACAAAATACATTTTCACTTCTTTCTTTTTACTTTTCTTGTCCATTTTACTAACTCAATAAGTTACCTACAATAAGTTATAATGTCAGAAAAATATAACTCATGACAATTTCAATTAAAACATAATAAAGTAGGTAGTCTGTTGCACAAACAATAAAACCTTGATGTTGGGCAAATCACAGGTGGAGAGAGAGTACATTGTGTTCGTCCCCAACCAGAAAGAAACTCTTAGGCCTAGGATGATGTAAATAAGTGCCACTATTCTGTGCTTCCTTGCACGAGTAAAGGGTTGAATCTGCAAAATGTAAAGCGATAGAAACTGAGACAAAAGAAAAAGGCCACGTGTTTTTAAATCTAAAAAAGTAAAAGTAGTTGACTAAAAAGATGAGGCTGGAGAAAAATCTACAATTATCTGTTCACATAATACGGAAGTGCTTATGTAGGCCCAAAAGGAAGAGGGTGGCGGAGTTGTGCCTTATCAGGATCTAGAAATCTGGACAGGCTGGAATAGTAACTACCTGGAATTTTACCCCGTCAATTTAGTCTTCCGTCTAAGAACGTAATTGGACCCCCATCCCCTCACTCAGACCTGTTTTTGCACTAAGATTGAAATGGACGTGGTAGCAAGACCTATAAGTGATGCTGAACCTAGTAAATACAAACTCAATTCAAACTTAAATTAATTAAATCCAGGTTTAGTTTAAGAAAGGGCCATGTGGCCCTAACTTTGCCTGGGTAAATAAATAATTTTCATATCATTTTTTTCTATTTCATTTCAAATCCAATGTAGGCATATGTTCTATGACAGTACTTTTCCTTTCTGTGTTACAAAACCGTCCATCGGATTCCCATGAAACTCTGGGAGGTTGCTCTATACACCGGCGAGAAGATCTCTTTTCTACTCCTGTTCTTGAACGGCTTACTTTAGTCATCCGTACCTCGGGCTTCTAAAGGTTCAATGTAATTTAAATAATACATGCTGGATGTATAATTATAAAGGCACAATATGTCAAATATTTACAAATTAAAGCAGAGGAGTTTAAACATGACAGTATTAAAATACCCCCGCTGCAGCAAACTTGCTGACTGAGCGAATTTCCATTTGTCTGAATTGATTTTCTATTAAATCTATCTAAATAACATTAGGTTTAACGAGTACCTAGGTTTGCTGCTACAAGGAAACTAATTAACGGTGTTTTTAGTAGAAATATTAAATAGCTTAGGCCTAGTATAAAATAAATGAAATTGCCAAATTCGATCAAAATATATCCTGTTACAAGCAAACTAAAACATTTTACAACATTCTCCATAAGAATAACATGGGAATTTTAAAATTTACAATTTTTTTGAATTTTCTCCGTTACCAATTATTGTACAATACTTTGGTATAGGCCTACTAAATTATTTGTTTTTTTAAGCTTTTTAAAAAGTCTGGAGAGAAATTGAGAAATTTTAAGTTTTGAGGGTAAAAAATACAAAAAACCAATTTTTACCCCATAAAACCCCCTGTAAAACCCTGTTCCCATGGTCTGATCAGTTCCCGAACTCATTCAAGTTTATCCCGCCTTACACCTTTAAACCAAATTTCATCAAAATCGCACAAGAATTACTCAAGTTATCACGTTCACGGACACATACAGTGTACAGTATACAGTGTGTTGTGGTGATATATACAGTGTTGGGAAGTAGCGCGCTACTTTTTTTGTAGCGTTAGCTGTAGCTACGCTACTTTTAAGATTTTGTAGCTTTAGCTGTAGCTAGCTACATTTTTAAAGTAGGCCTAGTTGTAGTGTAGCGGGATTTTAGCTACTATTCTCGCTACATTAACATTGATTGAGATAGTGATTTTTATCACAACCTTACGTGAAACAACCTTTTTCAAACCGAGATATTCAAGAAAATTAGGCCTACTTTCTTGGCTTCATACAGCTGGTCACAGTCGTTTCATTACCTATTACAACGTTGCGTGGACATGGAGGCCATTATCTGAGTGTTATCCACATTTTTGGCTATCATTTCCTTCATTTGCTACTCTATGATTACTGTCAGATAAAAAAAAAACCACTATATGCAGACGACATTTAAACGTCACCGGTGACAAGAGAAGCTATTGAATGCTTGTAAATGATTGACAGGGAAATTAGTAATCAACTTAGTTTCTTTATTGTATCAATTTAGTTTAAACTTGGGTTTTAATGGAAACCAACACTAAACCTTAAAATAATGAGAAAGCTGGTCTATCAACCTTTGCTTCAGCTGTTGATTGTGGTTCATCATCACAAGCCCTTCCTTGGTTAGATTACAAAGATTTTTCAAAGGTTTACTAAATGAACGAAGAGGAAATTTCCTGATGAGATTTAAGATATGCCTAGAATACATAATAATTGTAACGAAAAAATCTCCATATAACATGAAACTTGCATTGAAAAAGTAGCATACAGTAGTTTGCTCCTGCTAACAGCTCTATTCAAGGACTATTCCTAGGCTATGCTATTGGATTAATACGAATACCAAGTTCAATTAATAGGAATATATCTGTTTAGTCCTTGTAAGAACAAGCCTACTATGGCCAACTTGTTACAAAACCAAGTACGCCCAAATGTTATTTTTACTTAACAATTTTCAACATGTTTAAATTAAAAGCCGATTTCAGGATAAGTTGCTGAATACTGGTTTCTGCACCAACTTTTGTTGAAGCACAATTTTGACCTATGCATAATGACAAAGGATGATTTCTTGACATTGAAAAGTGTTATTCATAGAACAACATATTACTATGGGTAAAAGTTGTAGGCCTAGCAATGTCGTTTTTAAGATTAAAAATAAAGAATGGCAATAAACTCAAATTTCAGTAGGCTAGGCTCTGTAACACAAAAAAGTATTTTTAAATAATCGTTTTACAGTTTTACTGTTTTTAATAGTTGATATCAGACATCTAAAAATGAATGTATATTAAAGAAATAAAATGGGCTTTTAAAATATATTTTGGTTGTATGTCCTTTGAACTTAATGAAATTCCACGTGCCAAGATGCAAGATACAAGATGCTTAAAAATAATGCAATATTTAAAAATAAGTACTAAATATGATGGAACACTTTTGGTTCTGTTGTTGTAATGTTAGGTTTATATACGGTAGTTGCAAATAATTTTACATTTACCTAATGTGCGTGGAATAAAAGTAACGTCTTTGGAAAAGTAGCTAAAATTGTAGCTATAGCTACATTTCATTGTAGCTGTAGTTGTAGCTAGCTACTTTCTCGGAACTGTAGCTGTAGCTAAGCTACTTTTTTGGAAATGTAGCAGTAGTTGTAGCTAGCTACATTTTAAAAGTAGCTTCACCAACACTGCATATATATACATATATAAATCTATATAGGGCCTATATATATAAATAAATTTGAACAAATGGTGTTTTAGACCTCTGGGGGCATCAAAATGAAAAAGTAAATCGGTCCCCCGCCTAGGTCTTACCATGCCATCTACTTTAATACTTCCCTATATAGGGAAATTCGCTAAAAGCTAGGCCTATGTTCATTAGTGTTACAAAAAATCCCTTTTTAAAAGGAAACTACACACTATGGTTTGAGATTTAAATGCAAAATTTGGAAAATTCCACAGTACTTAAGTTTAAGTTTGAGATATAAATAGCCAAATGACTGTGAAATGAAGTTTTTCCATGTGAATTTTAAATATACCGTAAAACTATCAGATATTATTTGTTTAACCCTCCGAGTGTCCCTTGTTTTGGCCTTAATGTCTGCCTATTTTTTGCTCATTTGCAAGGTTTTATTAAAACGGATCTGAGAAGCTTGAAAACAATGTTAATTATACTAACTGTTCTATATACCATTTTGTTTGGAAAATCATGGGCTTCAATATTATACATAGAACATAAGGAACATTTGTTTCAAAAAAAATTTTTAGGTAAAAAAAATTTTTGGAAAATTAAAAAAAAAAAAAAGTTTGCGCTCAATGAAATTATACAGTGTGTAAATTAAGTATGGAAACAAATCTGTATTTTTAAAACCGAAATAGATAGAAATATTCTATTTGTGGCAATAATAGTTAACAAAGATTCCGCAATTTTTCACATGAAAAATATTTTTTTACCCCCCTAACAGGGTAGGTGGTAGGGGGTGACTTATTTTTTTCAAATAGCAACCCCTATTGAGTGACCCCTCATTTTGAAGAGTTTGTCAAAAGAAACACAATGACGCAAATTCGAGGTGAATATCTCACTCCTAGCCCAAATGGCGGATATTCCAAAATTTGATTTATTGTACGTGAAAAGCACCAATTTCACAAATAATGGAAAGAAATCTGTATTTTTAAAACCGAAATAGATAGAAATATTCTGTTTGTGGAATTGATTGTTGACATAGGTTCCGCAATTTTTTTAATCAACAATATTTTTTCAACCCCTTTAACAGGGTAGGGGGTGGGAGTGACTTATTTTTTTCAACAACAACCCCTATTGAGTGACCCCTCATTTTGAAGGGTTTGTTAAAAGAAAAAGAATGACGCAAACCCGAGGTAGATATTTCACCCCTAGCCTAAATGGTGGGTAATGAAAAATTTAATTTTTGTAAAAAAAGCCCATTTTGGAATATCCGCCATGTTAGCTAGGAGTGAGATATTCACCTCGGATTTGCGTCATTGTGTTTCTTTTGACAAACCCTTCAAAATCAATAGAAAAAAAAAATCAAAAAATCAATAGTTTGAGGGGTCACTCAATAGGGGTTGCTATTTGAAAAAAATAAGTCACCCCCTACCACCTACCCTGTTAGGGGGGTAAAAAAATATTTTTCATGTGAAAAATTGCGGAATCTTTGTTAACTATTATTGCCACAAATAGAATATTTCTATCTATTTCGGTTTTAAAAATACAGATTTGTTTCCATACTTAATTTACACACTGTATAAATTATAGGCCTATAAATATTTGAAAATAGCCACTTTGTTCTAAATTTTATGAGGATTGCAAATATATAATAATATAAGGAAGTAGATTTGCAAATAAATATTATGGGCAAAAAACAGATTATTTCAGTACACAGCGTTTAGCTAAGAATGCATAGCCTAACCATAGCTAGGACTCTGGCTGATAATTTACATCAATATCACTACCTACTTCTTCAGGATCATCAACCAGCCCTTCAAAATCACTTAAATCTTCTTATAATGCACCACGTATATCACTACTTTTTATTTTTAACACTAAAACAATGATAAACGTAATAAAACACATCAGTCATCAGTCCGAGGTTAACCAAGCTGTTTACAAATACGCACGTCAGCTGTCTGCAACAATATTTTCGGAACTAAAATGAAAAGCGCTTAGAGACAGACCTCCGGAGAAAGCTCTGAATCTATCAAATAAAACGATACCTAACTCGATCCAGTTCAATCCGATTTTGTCAGTCATAGAGCCTTTGCCGTAAACAGTGTTTGTGAGTCGCTGCAGCGACACAAAACACTACACAAAGTGTGTTATGTGTCGCTGCAGCGACAAATAACACTCGGAGGGTTAAAACACAACATGTACGTAAAAACAAAATGATAAAATGAGGAAATTAATACAAATATCTTTAGGTTGACATTTTTACCATCGATTGACATTTTTTCAGAGTTTTATTACAGTTTACGATTACATTTTAACAAACAATTAAGAACAATTAAGAGTTTTTATTTTTCACTTGCCTGTAGCCTACCCTACCTACTTTTAAGGACAATAGCCTAGATCACTGTAATATAAACCCAAACAACTAGCCGAGACTTTGCTTTTCAGACAACAAAATCATCATCTATCATTACCAGTACCAGTAAGTCCTTGTCTTGGCCTAGGCCTACGTAAGCCTAATAAAATATCCCAAAAGTAGGGCTAATACTTACATCTACAAGGATTAAACTTAGGAATACAGTCTCTGCCTAAAATTTCCAAACCCCGAGCGCCTTGTAAGTTAAGTTAGCCTACAAGATTTAAAAACTTAAAGAAGAATAGAATAAACTTTAAAGAGTTTGGTGTTATTTAGGCTTCCTAGACCTACCGTTATTAGTCTTCTGGTTTGTGTCAATCACCCACGATCTGTTATCCTATTAAAAATATGTATTTAAACCTTTCACCAAGTCCCTCCAAATCGAATACTTAATACCCCTACCTGCTTCCAATTCCAAGATGAGGCCTAACGGCCTAACTTTAATTGTAGTTTATGTTTGTATCGCCTTAACCAAACTAAATTAATTTAAGTTATGCCAAACTGATAGCCTAGGTAGGTAGGCTGGATGGAAACGCCGCCTTCCCGTTCCCGTCCCAGATTCCAAAATCCTAACCAAAAACCAAACAACGAACCAAACCAAAACTACTAAATAAAAAAACGGAGACTAGACTAGAGAGTTTCAAATTGATTAAAAACAAAACAACAAAACATCATCGGTTTCGGTTCGGTTCGGTCTGACTGAAGCTCATTCGGATTTATTTTTTTTAACTCTGAAAAATGTCTTACTCTTGGGAGGATTCATGGAGTACATTCCATTGCAACGTGTATGAAAATACTAGGTGGCGTCACTGAGCTATAATAACCTATATCTCAATGGGTGGCGTTCGCAGAGGCATCCACAAAATTGAGCGGAGTCATCAAGCTAGGGTTCATGATATTACATTGTTTTTTTCATACTGCAGTAAAAACAGTAGTTTTTAATGCATGCGTTGCGGGCATTTTAGCGAATTTCCCATATAGGGAATAAGCTATTACCGTGGTACTCATGGTAAGACCTGGACGTGGGACCGATTTTTATTTTCGTTTTGAGGTCCCTAGAGGCCAAAAACACCATCCGTTCAAATTCATATATATATATATATATTTATATATATATATATATATATGTGTCCGTCAGCACGATAACTCGAGCAAAAATTATCCGATTTTGATGAAATTTGGTACAAACGTGTAAACGTACATTTATTCGAACAAGTTCGCGATCCAGCATGATCGGACCATGGGAACGGGGGTTTACGGGGGGTTTTATGGGGTAAAAATAGGTTTTTCCCATTTTTGCCCCAAAAAACATAAAATTTAGCAATTTCTTTCCAAACCATTTTGTAGAGCTTAAAAAAACAAATAATTTAGTATATTGAAGCGTTATTATGCGCCTAACGGTTAAGGAGAAAATTCCAAAAAATTTTAAATTCAAAATTCCCATGTTATTCTTATGGAGAATAAGTAAACTGTTGTAGTTTGCTTGTTTGTGAACATATCTTGATCAAATTTGGAAAATGTTTTTATTTCTTACTAACTATTCACATTTTACAAAAAAAGCAGTTTTACCCTCCCTGATGCAGCAAACCTAAGTACTTGTTAAACTAATTCTATTTAAATCAAGAATAAATGTTATATTTGTAAGTAGACATTTCAGTGTAAATCCAATCAGTCAAATGGAAATTCGCTTAGTCTGCAGGTTTGCTGTGGCGGGGGTATTTACTCTTTAGGGAGTAAAAATCGTTTTTAGCCTCTATGGAGTAAAAATCAGCTGTTCAACTCAGTTGTAAATTTCTATTGTAAACGATTGCATGTATCGAAATATCACGATTACTAGAAAAATACCGGTATGGATCATAAACATAAATGACGTTGTTGGCCCGAATCCTATACCAATAGCATTGACGGTTAGTCTATTGACTTTATATCTACACGAAGAAACAATCTAAGACCGACTACCGAGCGCTGCGCTGTCTTTCGGAGGGTCAGACCAACTAACTGAACCACCGATTCTGGCTCAGATCCGATCATTATGGCTGAGCCGTTTGAATAGGAAGTCTAGTGTGTACAGTAGATATAAAGTCAATGCTAATAGCATTGAACATAATATGTTTTGGCAGTTCCATTTAAGCAATGTTAAATTATGTTTATTTTCGGGCCAAAAACGTCTTTTTGTTTATGTTTATGATCCATACCGGTATTTTTCTAGTAATCGTGCGAAATATGTATCAATGCTTGCTTCTAATCATTTTAGTCTAGTCTACAGTCTCTTCCCATAGCATTTTAGCATTGCAGATATTAATCCATTCCCAAACTCAACACTGCTCACCTTTTCTACTTCCTTCACCACCCCCTACGGTATTAAAATATTAGGAGTTCCAATCGGCACGTGGGCCTGTTTCCCTCTCTTCCCATAGCATTTTAGGATTGCAAATACATATATTAATGTAATTGCCAAAGACAGTTCCCACACTCTGCACTGCAAGCCTTACTACTTCCTTCACCATTTCCTACGTCATAGACCTTTTTCCTTCCCTTCTCAACCTCATAGCATTTAAGTATTAGATACATTTATCTAACTGCCCAAACGGTTCCCCTACTCTGCACTGCCAGCGTTTACTACTTCCTTTACCACTTCCTACGTCGTGGGGCCTCCTGTTTCCTTCGCCTTCTCATAGCATTTTAGGATTGAAGATACATTAATCTAACTGCTACAGACGGTTCTCACACTATGCTCATACTTTACTGCTTCCTAATTCACTTCCTACATCGTGGACCTGTTTTCATCACTTTCCATAGCATTTTAGTATTTTAGATACGTTAATCTATTTACCACAAACATTCCCCACACTCTGCACTGCTAGCCTTTACTACTTCATTCACCTCTTCTTACGTCGCGGACCTGTTTCCCTCTCTCTCTTCCCGTGGAATTTTAAGATTGTAGATACCTTAATCTAATCGTCATAAACAGTTCCCAGCACACTCTGGACAGCTCGCCTTGACTACTTCCTTCACCACTTCCTACGTCGCGGACCTGTTTCCTTCCTTCCCATAGCATTTTAGGATTGTAGATACCTTAATCTAATCGTCATAAACAGTTTCCACACTCCGTACAGCTCGCCTTGACTGCTTCCTTCACCACTTCCTACGTCACGGATCTGTTTCCTTCCCTTCCAATAGTATTTTAGGATTGCAGAAACCTTAATCTAATTGTCATAAACAGTTCCCACACTCTGGACAGCTCGCATTTACTACTTCCTTCACCACTTCCTATGTCGCGGACCTGTTTCCTTCCTTCCCATAGCATTTTAGGATTGTAGATACCTTAATCTAACCGTCATAAACAGTTTCCACACTCCGGACAGCTCGCCTTGACTACTTCCTTCACCACTTCCTACGTCGCAGACCCTTTTTCCTCCCTTCCCATGGCATTTTATGATTGCAGATACAATCTAATCATCACAAACAGTTCCCACAGTCCGGACTGCTTGCCTTTACTACTTCCTTCACCACTTCCTACGTCACAGGCCTGTTTCCCTCCCTTCTCATAGCATCATAGGATTGCAAATACCTTAATCAATGGAAATAAACAGATCCCATACCCCGAACAGCTCGCATTGACAACTTTTAACCTTCACCACTTCCTACGTCGCGGACCTGTTTTCCTCCCTTCCCATGGCATTTTAGGATTGCAGATACCTTAATCTAATCGTCACAACCCATGTAGCACAGATGGTTGGGCCAACGTTGGTAAATTGTGGAGCCACACAGTTGGCCAACGGTAGAAATGTCACCTCTTTAAACTGTTTTCCAGCCAACCATTGTCCAACAATGGCCCAACCATCCAAAATACTGATGCCCAACTAACCATAACACAACTGATATCCAACCAACCGTTTTATTTCACACAAAATAATAAAGATTTAGTACGAAAAGCATAATTATTAGTTGAGTAAATTGATTAAATAGTTCATAAAAACAAATTTTGAAAAAAAGCTAGAACAAAATTTTTTAGCCCTGACGGGTCTCGAACCCGGGTCCTTCGACTTATGAACCTCTTACCTTACCACTGAGCTATCTGTGATTGTTGATATAGAGAGTTTTCAAGTGGTGAAAGAGTAGCCGACAGTTGCAATAGTCGCAATACTTCAAACATTTTTGATACTACACAGTATAATATGATTCTGTTAATCTGTTAAGGCATCATAAGTATTTTTTTTTTTTTTTTTGGAGTTAGAGAGGATACTGGTATTTGAATATAGATTAATTAATTACCGTTAGATTATTAATGCTATTATAATTGACTAATTGACTGTTATATGATTAATTACTGTTTCCCCTTAAATTGTTGCAAATAAGTTAAAGAATATTAATTAATTTAAAAAAATATTAATTTAAAAATATTTGCATTATTATAATTATTAAAATTCATTGTTGTAGCCCCGGAACTGTAATATATAAAATATCTGGTTTTACAATACCTTTATCAGTTCCAAAAACTTTTGGAAACTTTTGGAACTGATAAAGGTATTGTAAAACCAGATATTTTATTATAATTATGTTGTGAAAGCTAGACCCAGAGAATGAAAGTCGTGTAAACTCAACTAAGGACCATCGTTGGTCCAACAAAAGTATCTTTTGTTGGTCCAACGGAGTGAAAAACGGTTGGACAACGGTTGGCTTGATGTATGATACCCAGCAATTCATATTAATGTATTTCATTAACAATGAACCAATGTTGGTCCACAGTTGTAAATATTGGTTGGCCCAACTACGAGATATACAGTTGGACAACGGTTGGTTGGTTGTGGAAGCTCCAACCAACCATCGACCAACTGTCCCACAGTTGGCCAACGTCGGCCCAACCATCTGTGCTACATGGGAAACAGTTCCCACACTCCAGACTGCTCATATTTACTACTTCCTTAACCACTTCCTACGTCACGGATCCCAAGCTAGTGTCGTCATTTGATTATATTTATGATCCATACGGTTTATGTTCTAATATCTGTGGAATAATGCTCAGCTATTTCTTTATCTACTGCATTCAAAAGTCAACAGCTGATCATACGTCTTTGTTTGTTTATGTGTAAAATACTGCTTCCATAAGGATTACATTGAAACTTTGAGACCTAGTGGGGCGGATTCCTGAGAGTCTTTTTTAACGCCATATAGATGTTGGCACTCACCGATATGGTCTTTATCACCATGCAAAATTTGAAAACGATTGATTCAGCCGTCTAGGAGGAGTTTGCGTATTACGAAATGCATAAGAGTCGACGTATAGGAGCTTCGCTCAATTAATCGAACCATGCAGTGCAGTTGAAATAAACGAATGAAATGAATTATTGTTATTGCTGAAAACACGCTGAAAACCATGGTGGAAGGAAAAATGTAAAAAAGTTGGGGTACACTTCCATATCTGTTGGCACAAACAACCGAATGAGTAATATTGATTATTCGATATATCATTTGGTTAGCTAGGTAAGGTTAACCTTACTTAACTAACCAAACAAATTATCGAATAATCAATCTATCG